CTATTGCAATACATATATATCATCAATTTCTAAGGTTCCTTTAATTTAAGTATATTTCAACTTAATTCTTATTCTTTTGGCAATTTATTAATGATAGCCTTAATAATTGTGAGTATTATCGTTTGATTGAAATCTTATTTCAAAGTCTCTGCATATACCTCTCTTATAAACTCAACCTTAGTGTTCAATAAAAATATGAGATATATACTAAGATATAACAATTAATCATTGTGATGTTTATTGATGGTATAATTATTGTATACATTTCCTTACTTAGAGAAAACCCAAATAGACTGTAAAAATACAAAATTTTATGATAATATTATAGCTCAATCTAATTCTGATACTTATTTAACAGGATGTGTTGCTACTCATGGTACTAAAACCTTCTTTACTGAATACTTTAAAATACAGTTATTTTTATTGAGCAGCTTGAAATGAAAATCTCATTCATCAGAGAATGATTTATATCCTCAAAATCTACTATTGAGTTAAGGAAAAAAATGATGCTTATAATCTTGGAATCTAATTTACTTTACTCTGCAGAAATTGAGTGAAAATTTTCTTTGAATACCTTTCAGAGAGTGTGGAATTACAATAAATAATTAAAAATTCTAAAGCAATATACCAAGAAATAATAGGACATAAAATTGGATGAATAAATGATGAAATATCAAGCATAGAAATAAGAAAAATTTTTGTTTAAAATTGAAGAAAAAAGTGACGGTAGATCAGCTAATGAAATTAATTTACTCAAATTTTATCTATTTGATTTTTTATAAAAATACATCATATGAATAAGATTGTTAAGGTGTTCAAATCTATATATTCATCTTTTTTTGCTTCTAATTCATATGATTTTGCAGTGTTTAACAAGAAATTTGTATATATTAAAAAATTATTTTATAAAAATAGATTAGGTCCAATAAAAATTAATGATATCATTTCTCATAAATACCTTTAAGAATACCATACTTAAAGGAATATGGTTCATAGAGATTAAATTATAAATAATACAACATGAAGTTAATAATCTAAACAAAGAATAGTAAATCAAAAGTTTTAAAATAAAGATCAATATAATTACTTAAAGAAAACTAATTTTACACAAAATTCTTTTATAATACATCCAGGATATTATATATGATAAATTTACTTAATTTATTACTGTTTAAAAGTAGGATTAATCTTTAAAATTATTATTAACAGTTTCATATTTCAGCCTTTAAACATTTAGACGAAAAATTAGATCTAAACAAGAAAAATCAATTTATTAATCATTTAACTCAATTTTTGTATAAATTAAAATAGTCATATAAAATAAAAATATTCTATATTATTAAAAAATCAAGTAATGCAGGTATTGAAATGAATTCTCAATTGCATCATTAACATCTACAACAATCAATTCCAAATCTACAAAAAGTCCTAACTACTATTATACAGAAATGCACAAGATATTTTTTTGGATTTTGTAGTATATAACTTCAAGTTATAGTAATTGAAATACAATATTAAAAATAAAAAAAGAAAATGCAAGGCTCTTTTTAGGAGAAGGAAGCTATAGCTGACATCTTTGATTAAGTAAAAGATGTGGATATACAAATCTTTGGGGTTCTATTAGAAATATTTCGAAAGGAAAAAGTTTAAGACTGCATCGGATATATATCAGACATAGGGAATCAGAGATAATTAAAATTATAAATTTTATAATAAGTAGGGAATATCACCCAAGCTGATACAGAATAAAAATTGTCTCTTGTAAGAGAAGACATGAAATAAATGACAGATGTCTTAAAAAAATTAAAAGATCATGACTTCAACAACAAACACTTTCCTCTGAAGAAAATGAAGAATCTAAATTATTTCTAAATAATAACATCAAGGATAATAAATAGATCATAGAATTTCTGAAATTTTTAATTCATCTAACATCCATAGATGGTACTTTTATTTAATGTGGGTCTAATTCATTACATACATTAGTTTAGATGTAGGTTGATATTAGGAACCAGTCCTTAGAGAATATCAGAATAAAGAAGACTTCTGTATTTGGAGGAAATTTTGTAAGATGTAACTTTAGTGGATCTGAGTTTGATAATGTAGATATCAGCGGATTGAATTTGAATGGTGCTTAACTATTCAATTCTAAATGGAAAAACTTGAAAATCTTTGAATTAAATAAATTAGATGGTCATAGTGATTTTGTGAATGCAGTTTGTTTCTCTCCAGATGGAAATACATTAGCTTCTGGTAGT